GCTTCAGCCTCAGCCTCAGTCTGCCTTCAGCCTCGGCCTCAGCCTCAGCCTGCCTCAGCCTCAGCCTGCATCAGCCTCAGCCTCAGCCTCAGCCTGCCTCAGCATCAGCCTGCCTCAGCCTCAGCCTCAGCCTGCCTGCCTCAGCCTCAGCCTCAGCCTGCTTCAGCCTCAGCCTCAGTCTGCCTTCAGCCTCGGCCTCAGCCTCAGCCTGCCTCAGCCTCAGCCTGCATCAGCCTCAGCCTCAGCCTCAGCCTGCCTCAGCATCAGCCTGCCTCAGCCTCAGCCTCAGCCTGCCTCAGCCTCAGCCTCAGCCTGCTTCAGCCTCAGCCTCAGTCTGCCTTCAGCCTCGGCCTCAGCCTCAGCCTGCCTCAGCCTCAGCCTGCCTCAGCCTCAGCATCAGCCTGCCTCAGCATTCAAAGTGTGGCCCGGGAATGGAGTTCTGGGAACTCGAAGAACACGAAGTGGCCTACAGTTGGCTCCGGGCATTCAAAATCATGCCCAGGAATGGAGTTCTGGGAACTCGAAGACCACGAAGTGGCCTACAGTTGGCTCCGGGCATTCAAAATGTGGCCCGGGAATGGAGTTCTGGGAACTCGAAGACCACGAAGTGGCCTACAGTTGGCTCCGGGCATTCAAAATGTGGCCCGGGAATGGAGTTCTGGGAACTCGAAGAGCACGAAGTGGCCTACAGTTGGCTCCGGGCATTCAGAATGTGGCCCGGGAATGGAGTTCTGGGAAATCGAAAAGCACGAAGTGTGTGACTGTATGCGAAAAACGATCCCCCCCGGCAAACCCCAACGGCCCCCCAACGGCCCCCCAACGGCTCCCCAACGGCTGCCCAGACCCCCCTGTGGAGTAATGTGCTGCTCTCTTTTTAGTCTATTAGAAACCTATCAGTCTTCGATGTTAGGTAAAAATCACTCGTCGCGACATAATCCCACCAGCCCTTTGGGCGTGAGTGGTTTAGAGAGCCCGCTCTGTCCTCAACCCCCCTTCTTCCCCTTCGGGGAAGGGTTTACACCTCCCCCTACCCCCTCCCCCTGGGCCTGGAGAGGGACCCCGGGGCGTCGCCAGGGGGGTCTTTTTCGACTCCTGGGAGGGCTAAAAAACGACGACCCTCACGAGGACTCTGGCCCCGACGGGGGGGCCGAGTTTGGCCCCTCTGCTCTTCTTTGAAGCCAAAATCATTGATTGTACTACGGTTTTGGCCCCATTTTGGCCTCCTGAGGCGGCCGCGCTCATCTTCCTTCATAGCAAAATCATTGATTTTACAAAGGTTTTGGCCCCATTTTGTCCTTCTCAGGGGCCAGCGCTCCTTTGCGCTTCTGAGGAGGTCGCAAGAGGCCCCAAGATGGCCCCAAGAGGCCCCCAGGAGGCTCCCAAGAGGCCCCCCAGAGGCCCCCAAGAGGCCCCCAAGAGGCCCCAAGAGGCTCCAAGAGGCCCCCAAGAGGCCCCCAAGAGGCCCCAAGAGGCCCCCAGAGGCCCCCAAGAGGCCCCCAAGAGGCCCCCAAGAGGCCCCCAAGAGGCCCCAAGAGGCTCCAAGAGGCCCCCAAGAGGCCCCACGAGGAGCCCGAACGACTCACACCAGGACGAGGGGCCCGAACGACTCACACCACGAAGAGCCCGAACGACTCACACCACAAGGAGGGCCCGAACGACTCACACCAGGACGAGGCGCCCGAACGACTCACACCACGAGGAGCCCGAACGACTCACACCACGACGCGGGCCCCGAACGACTCACACCACGAGGAGCCCGAACGAGTCACACCAGGAGGAGGGGCCCGAACGACTCACACCAGGATGAGGGGCCCGAACAACTCACACCACGAGAAGCCCGAACGACTCACACCAGGACGAAGAGCCCGAACGACTCACACCACGAAGAGCCCGAACGACTCACACCAGGAAGAAGGGCCCGAACGACTCACACCAGGACGAGAAACCCCAAACGACTCAAATCACGAGGAGCGCTTTCTCTCCCTCCTCCTCCGCCTCGTCCTTCTCCCGCTCCCCCCACACGGAGGATGTACAAGGAGGCGGGAGGAAGGAGGAACAGGGGACATATGCGGGGCCAAGCGGACACACGCCTGAAAAACACGACTGTCGGTATGCTTCGCAAGAGTTGCTGCTGTGAGATGGGCTGGTGGGGATACGCGAAGCGTGAAGAATTTGGACCATCTTTGAGTACTCCTCCTGTAGAGGGACAGGTCCGACTTCGCTGTAGCGCGCGCTGGCGAGGAGCATCTTCACACGGCGAATCCTCGCAACCGCACCCCAGGACGTCCACCGACTTTTGGTGTGGGAACGACGAGCTTTCTGCAACAGAACCATCGAAACCCAAGAAACCCAGGGCACCCTGGGTGCTTCTTGGCATGGGCCCCCACTGTAGCGTCAGGTCGGGCATGTTCCCCTACAGGCGGACTTTGGACGAAAAATAAAAAATTCGCCGGCCCAACGGGCCAGGGCGTGCTAAGATCTCCGGTAACTGGTTAACAGTATTAACAGTATTTCTAGTTCGCGCGCGCGGGGCGGCCCCTGGGGGTCCCCCGGCGAAAAGTACCCCGACCAACGCCCGACCGCCGCCCGACCGCCGCCCGACCGCCGCCCGACCAAGTCTACTCAGAGATGGTTTTCCTTCTGGGTGCGGCCTCTCAGGCTCCCCAGAGCGCGCTCAGAGTGCCCCAAGAGGCCCCCAAGACTGCCCAAGAGGCCCCCGAGACGCCCAAAGAGCGCTCGAAGACGCCGAAGATGACCCCAAGACGGCCCAAAAGGCCCCCAAGACAGCCCAAGAGGCCTCCAAGACGCCCCAAGAGCCTTCCAAGAGGCCTCCGAAGAGAGCCCCAAGAGGCCAAAATCGTTGATTTTCATTGGTTTTTTCGATGTTTTTTGTGTTCTGGCTTTTTCGGCTTCCGGACGCTCCAAGACGGCCCAAGAGGCCCCCAAGACCGCTCCAAGACGGCCCACGAAGCTCCCAAGACGGCGCCGAAACGACCCAAGAGAGCCCTCAAGACGGCCCAAGTGCCGCCCAAGACGGACCAAGAGGCCCCAAGACGGGCCCAAGAGGGACTCAGGAGGGATACCGAGAACTCAAAAATGGAGCCCTCCGTCCCAGAAGGCGCCCAGGAGGTCCCAAAGAGGCCCCAAGAGGCCTCCAAGAGGCCCCAAGATGTCGCCAAGAGGCCCCAGGAGACTCCCAGGAGGCCCAAAAGAAGCCCCAGAAGGCTTCAAACATGTCTCCCAGGCGCCCCCGAACGGCCTCTCAACAGACCCCAAGAGGCCCCCCAAAGAAGCATCTTGACGACGACTCTATTTCGCCCCATCGAGAGACGACCCCCAGGGAACTGCTTCACCATCAAAACTCCCCACGCAACGCGTCCGAACGACACCCGCCCCCAAGAGCGCAACAAGGGCAACGAACACACAGACAAAAACCAGCGATGCCATATCACGGGCCGGCGGAATGAGCGAAGCGATTCAATACTCAAAAACTGATCAAAAATTGTCAAAATGATAATAAAAACCGTCCGCAGGCTATGTTTTGACTATCTTTGAATATTCCTCCTGTAGGGGGACAGGCCCGACTTGACTGTAGCGCGCGCTAGCGAGGAGCATCTTCCAGAGGCTGCTAACCTTGGAGACCTGATGCGGGTATGGGTACGACCAGGGGTGAGAATAAGACTTCCCTTCAGTTGCCCAAGGACAGCTGAGAGCGCACCGGACACCTCGGAAGACAAGGTGCTTTGACCGCCAATGAACCCGATCTCCAGGCAGTCTGATTTCAGGGTAAGAGACGGTGAAAAATAAAAGACGATGCTTCCCAAGGCTCCCCCCTGCGTCACCGAATTCTCTTACGTTGCCATACAGTATCCACACGGCGAATCCTCGCAAACGAACCCATCGCTTCCCTGCCCCTCTCCAGGCGGGTGGCGCACCAAGGCCACCTCTGCCACCCCCTGGGGGCGAGGGCTGCCAGAAGCCCCCCGCTGGCTGGGGCAGGATGGTGCACGCAAGGCTGAGCAGCGCCACAGCAGGAGGAGGAGGAGGAGGAGGAGGAGGAGGAGGAAGGGGAGGAGGAGAGGAGGAGGAGGAGGAGGAGGAGGAGGAGGAGGAGGAGGAGGAGGAGGAGGAGGAGGGGAGGAGGAGGAGGAGGAGGGGAGGAGGAGGAGGCGGGGGGAGGAGGAGAAGGAGGAGGAGGAGGACGCGGGGGGAGGAGGAGGAGGGGCAGGAGGAGGAGGTGGAGGAGGAGAGCAGGAGGGGAGGGGGGGGGAGGAGGAGGAGGAGGAGGGGCAGGGGGAGGAGGAGGAGGAGGAGGAGGAGGAGGAGGAGGAGGAGGAGGGTGGAGGAGTGAGGAGGAGGAGGAGGAGGGAGGAGGAGGAGGGGGAGGAGGAGGAGGAGGAGGAGGAGGAGGAGGAGGGGCGCTGGCGGCCGCTGATGAGCACCAGGTCCCTGTTGCGGGCGTCGGCGGTGCACGCTGTGCGCCACGCTCTGACCGTGGGCCGCAGTCTCGCACGTCGCGCCCCGCGCTGCGCGACACGCGGCGGCGAGCTCCTCCTCCCCCTGCACGGTGTTCCCCCGGGGCCGTAGGCGACGCGAGGAGGAGGAGGAGGAGGAGGAGGAGGAGGAGGCGGAGGAGGAGGAGAAGGCCCGCTCAGAACGCGGCGGGACTTCACAGAAGCCCTCGCGCCTTCTGAAAGGTTCCTGTGTCTCTGGGGAAGGCCTCGAAACCTTCTCAGAAGGCCAGGGGACTTCCGAACCTTCTGGGAGGACCTTCTCCTTCTCACTTCCCCCCCTCGCTCGCCGCCGAGACACGCTGTCACCCTCGCACCATCTCGCGGTGACCGTTCGGTCCGCATCTCGAGGTCGGTCCCATCCCTCGCCGCGCAGTGTCACAACGAGCTGATCAGCGCGGAGGGCCTTACGGCAATCGTTGGCCGAGATCGTCATCGCGCGCGGCGCTAAGGCGAGACCCGCAACTCGACGACGACCACCCCTCCGTCCTTTTATTTCACACGCGCCGCGATCCCAATTGTAGCAAAGATTACGCCAGGCTCCGGCTTCGCTTTCCACATCTAGCTGAACAGCGACACGGCCTGCTGCCACTTCTCGCCTCTCTCGCCCGCGCTGATCGCAGCGCTGTGAATAATGGCCTCTGGCTCTAACCTTGCCTCCAACATCTCGCCGAGTAGCGCCAAAGCACGCTGCCACTGCTCGCTCTTTTCACCGAATGACGTTGGACTCCAGCGCTCCTGGCCTCTCGCTGAGCAGTGCCAAAGCCCGTTGCCACCACTCGCCCTTTTCGCAGGCGCTATATCCCAGCGTTGCGAGAGACGGCGTCTGGTTCCACCTTCGCCTCCCGCATCTCGCCGAGCGGCGATAAGACCCGCTGCCATTGCTCGGCCTTCTCTCGCGTGCTGATCCCCAGCTCTGTAGCTGACAAGTAGCCAGAGTCGATCAGACCCCACCAAGGCCGACCGTGAAGGAAGCGATCAAAATATTGGAATGATAACTTCGCATATACATGTACCCAACAACATAAAACGAAATCTGCCGCTCAGCTACCACATCGTGCCCTCAAGTCGCCAAGCAACAATAACACATGAATGCCACGCTCGCCTGTGTCGCGCGCAACGATTCCAGCTTCGTAGCTGATGATGTCGGGATCCACTTTCGTCTCTCGCACTCTCGCATCTCACGAAGCAGTGCCAAAGTCCATTGCCACTGCCTGCACTTTTCGCACGCGCTGATCCCAGCATTGCAGCTGACTAGTGTATACCCGTGGAGCAAAACCGCAGGTGCCCTGGCAAGGGAACGCGGCGGGGCCATCTCTGGGCCATCTTGGCTCGTCTTGGGCGCATCTTGGGCCGTCTTGGGGCTTTCCCTGAGCTGTCTTGCAGCTCTCTTGGGCTGTCTTGTAGCCCTGCAAGAAGTTCTTGGATCACCCACAAAAACCTCGAACATTGCCCAAAGAGAGGCTCGAGAGGGCCCGAAGACGGCCCCAAGAGCACCCCCAGAAACCACCCGACAGATGCTACAACAAGGGGGTGTGTTGTAGCATCCACTGGGGGGCCTCTTCGGGCTCTCTGGGAAAGCTCTTGGGGCCGTCGTGGTATGCACCTGGGGCTACAATGGGCCATCTCTTGGCCATCTTGGGTCGTCTTGGGCGCCTCTTAGGCCGTCTTGGGGCTCTCTTGGGCCGTATTGGACCGTCTTGGAGCCCTCTCGAGCCGCCTTGGGATTCTTTGGGGGGGCCTCTTGGGCCAGCTTGGGGCGATCTTGGGAGCTGTTGGGCCGTCGTGGACGGTGCAATGGACCAAAGAGTGATAGATGCTCAGCATGTTGACAAAACAAATGGAACCCTTGAGTTGTACAGCGGGATGTCCTGCTGGAGGTGCTCTTGGAGCGACCTGGGGGCCTCTTGGAAGGCTTTTCGGCCATCTGGAGGCCGTCTTGGGCAATCTTGGGGCCCTCGGAGGCCGTCTGGACGCCATCTTGGGCCATCTTGAGGCCATCCTCGCCGTATTGGAAGCAACTTCGGCGGACCTGGAGGCCTCTTGGACTCGCTGGTGCCGTCTGGGAGGCGGAGGCGCAACCTTCGCGCCCTCCCGGCGGACCCCCCACCCCCGGCTTTGCCACGATTGGCACCCTGCACGCGCTGCTCTCAGTACTGTAGGATGGATTAGGACTGACCCGTGGCCTGCCGGCCACGAAATCTGTCCGAGATGGCAGAGAGATTGCCCACAGACTTTCGTGATGACGTTGGTTGGGCCCGAACCTCGCCTCTGCTGTTGCTGCCTGCCGCTGCCTCCAGCATGTTGCTGCTGGTGCTTACTTTTGCGCTGTGCTGCCGCTGCCTGTTGCGGACTGTTGGTGTTCGCTGTTGCTGGCTGAGTCTGCAGAGTGCTGCTTCTTGGTGCCCTTGCCGGCTGACGCAACCTGCAGCTCGTGAGTGCACCGAGGAGCGAGGAGCGAGGAGTCAGGGTCGATGGGGGGAGGAAGCGAGGAGCGATCAGCGAGGAGCAAATAGCGAGAAGCGAGAAGCAACGGCCGAGGAGAGAGATAGCGAGAGATGAGGGAGAACCGAAGACGGAGGGGGGAGGCAGACGCCAGTAGCCAAGAGGGAGAAGAGAGAAGCCAGGAGAGAGGTGCGGGAGGAGCGAGGAGGAGTAATAAGAGAGCCAGGAGCAAGGAGAGAGAGGCGAGGATCGACGAGAGAGCGACGAGGAGCGAGGAGCGTGGAGCAAGGAGCGAGAAGGGAGGCATGAGAAGAGGCCAGCACATGAATGCCTCAATAGCCTCGGCGCGGGTGTTGCCGAACATCTGGTCTCCTCTTGGATCGCTCATGGGGCTCTCTTGGGTGGCCGACGCGGCTCCAAGGCTCTGTCAGGGATCTTCCCTTGGAAGTCTCTTGGAGGCGGTTTTTGCGGTGTCTTGGGGCCTCTCGGGGCCCTCTTGGGCACCTCCTGGGGCCTGATTTGACCCTTTTGGGGGCATCCTCGGGATTCTGGGGGGGGCTCTTGGGGGCCTGCTGGCGGTCTCGGGGGTCATCTTGGGGCGGAGGGTGCGAAATGCCAGTTCCAGTTTTCCCTTTTTGGGACCGTCTTGGGCCCTCTTGGGCTGTCTGGGGGGCCCTCTTGGGGGCCTGCTGGGCCGCATTGGGACGGTATTTGGGGCCTCTTGGACCGTCTCAGAGCATGGTGCATGGAAGCCCGAAAAGGCGAGAACGTCAAAATCTGTCGAAAACCGATGGGAAATCAATGACTTTGGCCTTTCCTCTTGGAGCTCTCTTGGGCCGTCGTGGGACCCTGTTGGTGGGCCGTCCTTGGGCGCCTTTCGGGTCAACTGGAGCCGTTTTGAAGCCGTCTTGGGCCGTCTTGGGGCCGTCTGGGGCTCTCCAGAGCCTTTCTGGACGCCCCCAGAGGCTCTCCAGGTGCGCCCTGGAGCTGCTACCCTCACTCGGTACCCAAACCCTTCTCACACGCATTTGCCACGGCATTGTAGATATGATGACTGGTGCTGACCCCTGGCATTCTGGTCGCGAAATCTGTCCGAGATGGCACGTGGGGCCAAAACAGAAATGTTGCCGAAGGCTTCCGTGATGACCTTGGGCCTGAACACCGTGGAGGTGCTGCTCCACATAATCGCGAAATTCGCTGCCTTCGCTCGCGACATTCCTTGCATGCACAAGGGTCTGGCGTTATACTAGGGATTACGCTATTCCGCTTCGATCAGGCCGCACATCTCCATCGTCAACAACTGTACCAGTTTCCTTTGTCCACAATGCTCGCACATGCTGGCTACAATCCCATAGACGAACAAGTCCGGGCACAGCTTCATCGGGCGAATGTCTCGTAGCAGAGATAGAGCCCTCTGCCACTGCGTGCCACCATTTTCGCACGCGCTGATCGCAGCGTTGTAGCTGACTACGGTGAACCCGTGGACTTCGTCCACGTCATCTAGCGTGTTAAGAGTGTACGGGCCGCTCGGAAGTATCCTCTGGCCTCGCGAGGGTGACTTGGGGCCGTCTTGGGCGCAGCATGGGCATTTTTGGGCCGTTTTGGGCTGTATTGGGCGCCTTTCGGGCTGTCGCCGGGCCGTCTTGGGCGGCTCTTGGGCCATCTTGGACGCCTCCTGGGCCATCTTGGAGCCCTCCTGGGTGGTTGCGGGGCCTTTTTTCCGGATCCTCTTGGATGGCCTTGGAACTTTCGTGGGGGTCCCACCAGCCGTCTTGGGCTGGTCTTGGCTCGGAATGGCGAAGTGGTGGAAATGATTCAAAAACCAAAAAAAAAATCAAAAACATCGCTTGCCGCGGCACGTCGTCTAGACGGCCTCTGGGGCCGTGTAGAGGCCACATTGGGAGTGTTGGGCCGTCTCGGAGCTCTCTGTGAGCCCTTTTGGGCGGATCTTGGGGCCCGTCTGGGGGCTCCTGGGGGCTCTCTCGCGCCGTCTTGGGTCTCTCTTGGGCCGTTTTGGGGTCCACTGGGAACCTTCTTGGGGCACTCCTGAGCCGTCTTGGGGCCCTTGCTGGGGCCCCTTGATCCTTGGAGCACTCGTGGGGGGCCCGCCCCGGAGCCGTCTTGGGCCGCTCTTAGCTCAACTCACCCTTCTCAACGCGTTGACTGTGACTCGGAAGCGGGCAGGCTTGAGACGCGGACAATTCAAAGTCGGTTGAAAATGGGTTCCTGGACGCCTCCCACGGTCGAAACGCACCAGTGTTCTCCGCTGCGTCCAGCCGTGTCGGCAATGGCGCCGTCGAATCCGAACTGTCGGTGTCTATATTCGGCCTGCCCTGATTTCGTCCGCTCCGGGCTTGGGTGCAGTCCGGCATCCTCAGTGTGTCCATCACGTGGGCGGCCACTCGGAAGCACGCCAACGGAATCCAAGGCCACCCAACTGCCTCGCGGCGCCGCGCCGTGCGAGACCTGATCACCTTCGCGCCCTCGCCGAAGCCTTACGTTTGAAACAAATCACCCCGAAGGCTCTGATCACTTTTTCCGGCCGTCTTTCCTAAGCCTGACGGCGAACGCTTTCTCCACCATTCAAACTGTTTGGGCCGCTCGGGGTTTCTTGTCGGCCTCGTGGTCGGAAGCACGCCAACGGAATCCAGGGCCACCCAACTGCCCCGCGGCGCCGCGCCGTGCGAGACCCGATTACCTTCGCGCCCTCGCCGAAGCCTGACGGCCGGAAAAAACCATCGAAGGCTCCGGCGACTTTTCTCTGGCCGCCTTTCCGAAGCCTGACGGCGGGCGCTTGCTCCTCCGTGCAGACTGCTTGGGTCGCTCGGGGCGTCTTGCCAGCCTCGTGGGGACCTGTTGAGACTCTCGGGCCGCCCTGTGCGGTGAGCTTCCACGTGGGAGGAGGAGGGTGGGCCCCCGCCCAGGGAAAAATCACCCCGGAGCCTTCGGTGACTCTTTCCGGCCGCCTCGCCGAAGTTGGAAGTTGGAAGGCGAAGCGCAGAAATAGTACAAAAAATACTCGGGAAAGCGTCCCCAAACTATCTTTAGACTATTTTTGGATATTCCTCCTGTAGAGGGACGTGCCCGACTTAATTCTTCGCCCTGGGTCGTTTCTTGACGGTCCCGAGGCCCGGCGAGGGCCCCCCCGAAGGCCGAGAAATGCGAAAGACCCGCCGCTGCAACTCTTCTGGAGCGTCGGGCCTCTGGGCTGGACCCGGCGGGGTGCCCGCGGCGCGCGATCCCAGGCGCCCCGCCCGAGCTGGACAAGCGCGTTCCACTACTCGCAGAGTAGCTACTCGCAAACGGCCTGGATCCGCCACGGGGGATGCACGATATATATTGGGGAAACCAACAGGTACCGATACCGCTACTCGTCGGACCTCTCCCGTTGTGCGTTCTGAAAATGATTTCGAGGCGAATCCAGCGGTGGCAATGAGGGCCTCCGAGGAGGCCGAAAAAGGAGCAAACGGGCGAAGGGTAGAGGTATGGATACCTTTTCCTCCTCTGATACATCGCGTCGAAGCAAACCCATGCTTTTCTGGACGTTTGCGCGCAGGCACTTCGCGAGCAGCGCAGCGCGCTCGGTGACGAGAGCAAGCGTGGCCGTGCCTCGCGGGCGTGCCCGCACAATGTGTGGGGGGCCGTTGCCCGGCGCTGGGAGGCTAGGAAGCTCGGCCACCCGTGCCGGGGCTTTCTCCCAGGCCCCTTGTCATAGCACAGGCCTTGCGGACGTGCTGCAGCGGAGTTCTGCGTGGATTTCTGCCCGAAGCGGCGAGCGGAAAACGAAGTGAATTTCACGTGGACTTGTTGTTGGTCCTCATTCCTGGCCAAAGAAAGTCCGCACGAAGTTCACCTCGAAATCCGGAACGACATTCTCCAGGACACTCTGGGCCCACCCTGTCGATTTCCGAACGAAATCCGCTCTGAGATGTTGGCGCGATGCCTCTTGCCCCCAGCGCCATGGGAGGGCTTGAGCAGGGACCGACCGTCCCGGCATTCCTATAGTCCTACCACGACATGTCCGTAGAACCCACATGTTCTAAGAACAAAAACAATGTTCTTAAAACATTAGCCCGACGTATTAACAAGACGGTCTCAACCAGAAATCTTCTAAGACAAATCCGTGCAGACCACAAAAGGTGCTTGAAACACTCTTTGGTGGGCCGATCGGCGAACCAGGACGCTTCGCCACTGCTTGAAGGGTGCTCCTTAGAGACCCTCCCGTCGGGCCCTGTGGGTGCGAGGCGGGGATTTATCCATATCTACCGCCTGGGAACCGACGTCCTGGTGCCCCAGCGGGTGGTGGATATGGACATAGTTTGGCAACCGGGGGGCCAAAATATGTCCGCCTCCCGAGATCCCTGGAGATTGATCCTCCAGGCGGTGGTCATGTATACATCCCCGCCTCGGATATAAGCCTTCCCCGAAGACGCAGAAAACTCCCAAAGAGGCGCGAGGGCTTCCGCAAAGCCCCGCCGCCTTCTGAGAAGGCCTGCCCCCTCTCTCGGGAGCGGCCAATAGGGGGGCGCCCAAGAGGGGGAGAGGGGGGGTGCAAATCATGGCCGGCGTCACGTGCGCGGCCCAGCGCGGGGGCCAGGGACGTAGTGAAATAAGAAGAGGCGCCATGAAATCTGAGGAGACAGCATGGCCCCCGCCATGATATCCACCCCCCCCTAGTCCTCACCCCCCTCTTTGCCGCCACCGACTCTCGCTTCCCCCCCGGTCTCGCAAAGGAGGCACCAGGGAGGCGGCCTGGCCACGCCGCTCGACGGCGCAGCTTGGCAGGGGGCTGCCCGCACGCGCGCTCCGGCGGCGCCCCGGGCCACGGCGAGCGCGAGCGGAGCGGCGGGAGGAGGAGAAGACGGGCGGGAGCGGCCGCGGGGCGGGAGGAGGAGGAGGAGGAGGAGGAGGAGGAGGAGGAGGAGGAGGAGGAGGAGCAGAGAAGGAGGAGGAGAGGCAAGGGGAGGAGAAGGAGGAGGAAGGAGGAGGGACGAGGACGTGGAAGAATATGATGATGATTGCTGTGAATGATGAAGATGATGATGAGGAGGAGGAGGAGGAGGAGGAGGAGGAGGAGGAGGAGGAGGAGGAGGAGTTGGAGGAAGTGGAGGAGAAGGAGGGAGGAGAAGAGGAGGAGGAGGAGGAGGAGGAGGAGAATGAGGAGGACGAGGGGGAGGAGGAGGAGGAGGAGCAAGCAAGCAAGCAAGCAAGCAATCGCCCGTGGAGTCCTGGTGCAAGGCTGTGGTCAGACATACTGAACAAAAAACCATGCGGACTCTGTGGGGCATTTCGTTTGAACGCCGATCAGCCTCTGGACGTGAGCTCTGCGCTCTCGCCCACAGGGCGCACTGCCCCTATAAGGGCAACCCTCACTACGGGCACGCATCCCTGGAGGGCGCCCTCAGGGGTCCGAGGCGCGCACCCCGCCCACCCCCCCTCGGAGGACGAGGGGGGAGGGTGACGGTGGGGACAGTGGGGGGCCTGCCCCCCAGGGATTCGTGGCCTTGGGAGCCTCCCACTCCTCAAAAGCTCTTGATACCTAACACTAGTGGACCACACGGTCGGGCTCGCTCCTCTCGAAATCGGAGGGGTCGCCCGTCGTCTACTCGAGTCGTCCCGCCCAACCGTAGTCCCGCCCCCCCGCCCACGATCGTAATCGCTAAGCTGCTGGCTAGACGCTGCTGCAACCATACTGGTTGCAGTATTTACCGATGCTGCTACACTAAAACGCGTATGCTCTGAGTTCGTGCTTAATATAGTGAAGGGGGGGTGGCTGACGATATCTGTAGGTCTGGGCTCGGCCTCCAAAGGAACGGGAACCATCATCCGAGCCCCTAGGACAAAAAATGCTCCTCAGCCCCCCCCCCCAGGCAAAAAACTGAACTCACCCTCGCTGCGCTGCCCTCACTTAGAACAACTTCCCTTTGCCCTGGGCCTCGATAGTGCGAGCGACCTCCCTCTCGAGCGGGCCTCGGGGAGCGGCTCCTGTTTTGCGCACTCCGTTGAGTACCGCCATCGACTTCAAGATCAGCTGGCGCAGGTTGTTCGCGTGCTCGTGGTTCGGGTCCAGCGCCCAGACGATCCCCCCCT